CTCCAGTTATGTTGGCTCAGGAACTCTGGCATTGAAGTGTGCAAGTCTTAAAGCTGTCAAGTTACAAGACTCCTAACCCTGCACACATGACAATCAGCTGCCCTTCGCGCACGTGGCAGTGGCAACAAACAGTGTGTGCCTGTGTGCCGGGCAGCTGATGGATGGGTGTGTATGCGTGCCACAACCCGGAAGTTCGGCTTTTTTTGGAGTGTGATCCCATCTGTGGGCGGCAGTGCCAAAGACCAGTGTGCACATGAGTGCGGACCAGCTGATTGTCAGGTGTGCATGAGCACCGGAACCTGGAAGTTCAGGTTTTCCAGAGCGGGGGCCCCGAGAAGCGCATGTGCGCACAACGTTTCCATGCAACTTTTTTGGCACTCGGCATCACTGGGGTTGGACTATGGCTTCCATCATTCACCAGCCAGGATAGTTGGCTTGTTGCTCAACCTGGATCTTAGCTCCTCCCAGAGCAGAGACAGATATAGAAGCTCTAGGCTTTCATCATCATCTTCGTTTGCAAGTTGAGGAATCACAGGTTTGGCTGGTCCATCGACGGTGAAGAATCTGATTTTTCAGGGCAAAATAGCCACAGGGGTTCTAATGCGTGTGAATCGAGAGAGAGCTATTTTCTTCCCCCTTTGTTGGAGAAATTCAGACAAGATTCCCTTGAAGATCCCTTGAAAGGCTAGAGATCTTTCTTCCCCTTACCCCCAACCCCCCCAGTTTTAAGAAATTGGCCTCTGAAAAATAAATCTCTGGAGCACGGGGTCTCCAACCTTGGCAATTTTAAGACTTGGGGACTTCAACTCCCAGAATATCCCATCCAGAATGGGAACCCTGGAAGGAAGGGAGGGAGGGAGGGAAAGAAATGAAAGGGGAGGAAAGGGGAGGGGAGGAAGGAAGGAAGGAAAGCTGATGAAGGAAGGAAGACTAGGAAGGGAGGGAGGGAGGGAGGGAAGGAGGGAGGGAGAAAAGAATTGAGGGAGGGAAGGAAAGGGGAGGAAAGGGGAGAGAGGGGAAGAAGGAAGGGAAGCTGATGAAGGATGGAAGACTAGGAAGGGAGGGAAGAAGGGAGGGAAGAAAGAAGGAAGGGAAGGGGGAGGGAGGAGGGAAGGAGGAGATGAAGTCCACAAGTCTTAAAGTTGCCTAGTTTGGAGACCCCTGCTCTGGAGAATGGATACAGGTAACCCACCACCACAATTGGGACCAGAAGTTCCAAAGTGCTTGCCAAGTGACTCATGCCCAATTTTATGACCTGCTTTGCCATGGTTGATAAGCAAATCACTGCAGTTGTTAAGTGAACCATGCAGTCATTAAGCGAACTTGGCTTCCCCATCGACTTTGCTTGTGGGGAGCCAGCTGGGAGGGTCACAAATGGTGATCATTTGTGAAAAGATTTACTGGTGGCCAAGTGCCCAAATTTTGATCACATGACCAGGGAAATGGTGCAATGGTTGTAAGGGCAAGCGCCGGTTTTTCAGTAACATCAAACAAGTTGAGGACTACAAAAAAGATGTTGAGACTTTGGAAAAAGTCTAGAGAAGAGCAACTCAGATGATCAAAGTCCTGGAGACTAAATCATATGAAGAACGGCTGCAAGATTTGGGATTTGGCTCATCTAGAGAAAAGAAGGACTAGGGGTGAAATGATAGCAGTATTCAAGTATTTGAGGGGCTGCCACAAAGAAGAGGGGGACAAATTATTCTCCAAAGCACCTGAAGTCAGGACAAGAAATAATAGATGGGAACTAATCAAGGAGAGAAACAATATGTTTATTCAATTTGTATGCCGCCCTATTCCCGAGGGACCCAGTGGAATGGCTCGCCACCTGAAGTTGTGGGTGCTCCAACAATGGAGGCTTTTAAGAAGAGGCTGGACAGTCCCTTGTCTGGAATGGCATGGGGTCTCCTGCTTGAGCAGAGGGTTGGACTAGAAGACCTCCAAGGTCCCTTCCGGTTCTATTCTCTTCTACCCTATATGTTGAGAAGCTGCAAGATTTTGCAAGAAGCAGCTAGAGCAAAAGAAAAAACAAACCAGCATTATTTGGCAATTGGCCTCCCTTCAGAGCAGCTGCTTTGTTCCCACACAAAGCTGAAATTGAGATAATTCAGGCCACCCCACCATGACAGAAGGATAGAGTTTTATTCTGAAAGCTCCTTCAGGAAACCTCTGTGGAGAGGCAGCTCAGAGTTGGAACACGGACAGGCTGCAATCACTAGCGTGTGTCTCCCGCAGAGAGAGAGAGAGAGAGAGAGAGAGAGAGAGAGAGAGACAGACAGAGAGACAGAGAGACAGAGAGACAGAGAGACATAGAGAGAGACAGAGAAACACACAGAGTGAGAGAGACAGAGAGGAGAGAGAGAGAAACAGAGAGACAGAGAGAGAGAGGCACAGAGAGAAACACAGAGAGACAGAGAGAGACAGACACACACAAAGAGAGAGACACAGAGAGAGACACAGAGAGACAGAGAGAAACATAGACAGAGAGAGACAGAGAGAGACAGACAGACAGACACACAGAGAAACACAGAGAGAGAGAGACAGAGACACATAGAGAGACACACAGAGAAACACAGAGACAAAGAGAGAGAAAGAGACAGACAGAGCTGCACAGAGAGACATACTGAGAGACAGAGAAACAGAGAAACAGAGAAACGGAGAGACAGACAGAGATGCATAACAAGAGAGAAACACAGAGAAACACAGAGACAGAGAGAGACAGAGACACACAGACAGAGACACACAGAAAACACACATACACATACACAGAGAGAAAGAGAGACAGAGAGACAGAGAGACACACACAGAGAGAAAAACAGAGACAGAGAGAGACACACACAGAGAAACACACACAGACACACACAGACACACACAGACACACACAGAGAGAGAAACACAGAGACAGACAGACAGAGAAAGAGACAGAGAGACAACACACAGAGAGAGACATACAAAGAAACAGAGAGAACCAGAGAAACACAGAGAGACAGAGACACACACAAAGAGGGAGANCATTTCACCCACCTCGGAAGGATGGAAGGCTGAGTCAACCTTGAGCCGGTGAGATTAGAACCGCTGAACTGCAGATAACAGTCAGCTGAAGTGCCCTGCAGTACTGCACCCTAACCACTGCGCCACTTCGGCTCTTTCTAAAAGATTGCTTCTCTCTTTGGTTAGTTTCCATCCATTGTTTCTTGTCCTCGGGTGCTTTGGAGAATAATTTGACCCCCAAATCTTCGTTGTGGCAGCCCCTCAAATACTGGAATACTGCTATCACGTTCGCCCCTAATTCTTCTTTTCTCTAAACCAGCCAAGCTCAAATCCTGTAGTTATTCTTCATATATTTTAGTCTCCAGGCCTTTGATTATCTTAGTCGCTCTTATCTGAACTTTTTCCAGTCTCAACAGCTTCTTTGCAGTGTGGTGACCAAAATTGGTTGCAGTATGGCAGGTGTGATCTTACTAGGGTTTTATAAAACGATACTAATACTTCATGTGATCTTGATTCCATGCCTCTGTTTATACAAGCCAGGATTCTATCATGATTATACCAGCTGGGAAGGTTGCAAATGGTGATCACATGACCCTGGCATGCTGCAAATGTGTCAAGGACATGTCAGTTGCCAAGTGCCCAAATTTTGGACCACGTGAGCTTGGAGATGCTACAATGGTCGTAAGTGTGAGGACTGGTTGCAAGTCCCTTTTTTCCAGTGCCATTGTTAACTTCGAACTGTCACTCAATGAATGGTATGAAGCTGAGAATTGCTTGTTGACCTTCCCATTTTACCTTGATTTATATCTATAAAACTGATTCTCAGTTTCAGATGAATGAGGTGCTTGCAAAAAAAAAAAAAAAAAGCACAACACACAAATGGAAAAGAAGCAATCTTTGAATTACACACTGGGCTAAGACTGTGGCTTGTGCCTTTTTTTTCATTGTGAAGTCAATCCATTTTCAGGCAGAAAAATTAAAGCCAGAATGAAAATTCTCAGCGGTTGTCATTATAAATATTGAAGCATTCCTGAGAATATTTTTTTTAAAGGTTTTTATTAACAAACATGTAAAATACACACACACATGCAAATTAGACATACACCACATTTATACAATACAATCCGAACAGGAACTTCCTGTTCTTTATAATATCCTGCGAATATTTCAATTGCTTTTATTGTATTTATTTATACAATGTATTGGCCACCCATCTTACAATGGGGTAATTCTGGTAATTATATCCGGTTTAAAATATAAAAAGACATTAGAACCATATATAAAGAGCCAAGGTGGCGCAGTGGTTAAATGCAGCACTGCAGGCTACTTCAGCTGACTGTAGTTCAGCAGTTCGGCTGTTCAAATCCCACCAGGCTCAAGGTTGACTCAGCCTTCCATCCTTCCGAGGTGGGTAAANCTAAAAAAATCGTTACAAACATTGGAAAAATAAGAAACCGCGCATAGAAGATGTAATTAAAAAAATACTAGATTGTGCAGAAATGGATAGGTTGACATTAAAGATAAAAGATCAAGAAAATGCATAATACTTTCAAACATGGGACTAATTCTATCAATGTTTGGACAATAGAAATAAGAAATTGGAAAAATACTATTATGTACTGTATGTATTATGTTTAATATATTATTATATTATATACTATTATGTAAGCAAATTAACCCAGACAATACAGTTCCTAAAACACTTATATGTGTTAAGGAAAATATATAAATAAACTGTTTTTTTTAAATAGTTACAAACACATAAATGTCTCTCTCCATGGAAATCTTTAGTAAAAGTATGAGCTGAAGAGAATATAATGCTGAAACAGTAAAGGTCATTCAAATATAAGAACAGAAATAGCCTTTGATTTGATAGAGCAGAGAGCAAGCTGGAGAGATGATATGCTCAACAGCCCTACAATTTCAAAGGAATCTGTAGAACGAAAGCAACATATTTGAGCAGTGTTGGTCTGATGGGCGGTTTTTGTGTCCTTTCTTGCTTTCTTCTGCAGCCTTGAAGAGGTCCTTTGAGATGGAAGACGTGGAAGAAGACCCTTCATGCTCAACCAGATCTTCTGCAAATCCCTGCCCCTCTGAAAATGGAGAGGGGAAAAAAACGAGAGGACCCATGCAGAGCACCTACTCATCTCCCATCGGCCTGAGCAACATCTCCAGTCCTTCACACAGCCCGATCCCCAAAACCAGGATCACAAACAGCCTGTCTTTCAACCGAGGTACCCTTCATTTGCCTCGGGCTAATGGGACCAACCTCGTCAGGGTGTCCTCCTTCCAAACTTGGCTGAATCCCAATGGATTCTCTTCCTCTTTAGGGCCAGGAAGTGATGAGAGTCTCCATAGTTCTTCTTCCAGTTTGGAGTGCCAAACACCTACAAGATGCCCCCAGAATCCTGTTCGGCAATCTGAGTCCTCTGGAATTGAGACCCCTCAGCTCTCTAATCCTTTGCTGAAGAAGTTCTCCTCCCACGGGAATGTCTTCCATGCTGAGGTGGACCGTCCTATCCGGCAGGTCTCCAAGGCTACCATGAATCACAGCTCCTTGCCGTCCCTTGACCTGCACATCGCAGAAGACCAGGGGCCCAGTCCTATCCTTTGCTCCACCTCGGACATTGACCCTGCCAAGAGGTGGAGCTCCCAAGACCAAAATTCCATCTCGCCTCTTCCAAAGAATAGAACGTTACTGAGAAAGGATTCTCCTTGCTCTGCCATGGGGGTAGGCCAGTTGGGGAATGTGACTCCTGTGGCTCCTTTGGCCTCCAAGCAAACCACAAAGTTTCAAACATTTCCCACCAGCTTGGACAGGTTCATTGGAAACCCCACGGTTGGTTGTGTTCTCCCTTTGGTGGGTGAGCCTGGGCTCAAATCTTTGCCTAAGGCCCAACTTCAGATCAACCTTGGCCATAGCCTGCCTCATATATCTCCAGAGCTGGCCAACAAAGATCAAGTGATCATAACCCATGACACTTCCCTAACAACCTGTTATGGAAGCCCACCAGAGATATCAGAAACAGCAAGAACAGATCCTCGTCCTCAGTCTGCCTCTTTCCAGTTAGTCTCTCAATCTCCATCTGCTCGCCCTACTTCCCAGTCCTCTCCAATGACAGTGCCAGCTCCCCAAGGAAGCCCAGCTTTGCCCAACCCAAGAGAAAATGGTCCTGCTCTGATTGGTTCCATCTCCTGTCAAGATGCTTCCAAGGCTTCAAACCCAGAGTTGCCTTCTGGCCCAGGGGAAGAGTCTGGAGACCAGCCTCTGGAGATCTTTGAGAAGAAGGAAGAGACTGCAGAGAGGAACTCACTAAAAGAAGGTGAGACAGGTTGGACCCTAGAACAGTGGTCACCAACTGGTGGTCCACTGAAAAATTATTTGCTTTTTTTATATTGCACTAAATCAAACTACGGCCTCTGGAATGGATACGTGCAATGAACATTTGTGTTGCTGCAGAGAATCTCCCCCTTTGGGGTCTTTTTGTGTGGGTCAGAGGGGGAGCAGAAATTCGGACTTAGAGTCTGCTTCAGTCTCCTGGTGTGGGGCTTTGGGCGAAGGCTGGAGGGAAGCACCACTGGTGGCGAAGAGCCAGAGGGGCTCATTCCAGTGGGACTGCATCATGGCCTGGAACTGGCTGATCATCTCAGCTGACTGAGCCTCCAGGTGCTGGTGCCTGGCCTTGTACATCTGCAGGTCTTCCCTCTGCTTGGAATGCCTAGGCTCATAGTCCTCAGTGAGGTGCTTCTGCTGAGCCTTCTTTTCGGTCAGATCCAATTTGAACTGAGCTGTTTTGCCAACTCTTTCCCATGGTGGCTGCTTAGCTCCAGCAACTGCTTCTTGTTGGGGCCCTAAGGAGCCTGGGTGGGCAGGTGAGGAGTGGCTGGGAGGGGAGGGGCGAATAGAGACTGGTGAGGCACCCCTTGACATGAGTGACATCGAGCTGGCCATGCCCACCCAGCCAATTATTAGGCAGATCATATTAGTAGTCCGTGGGATTTAAAATTATGAATTAGTGGTCTCGGAGGTCCAAAAGGTTGGTGACCCCTGGAATAGATGCCCTCTGAAACACAGGCCTGTTCAAGCCATCTTTTATAAACCTAGAATGGTGAAGCTACACAACTCATTAAGTTAATTTCAATCAAACTCCAGGATGGCTAACTACCATGTGTGAATCCAACCTTGTGTGGCTGGATCAATACAACTCACAAAACATAATGAAGGTGAATATGCATGTCCCAGGATAATGTTGTAGGCCTTAATCTGAGTCTGTCACCGGGACGAAAGGTTTTGTCTTGTGGGTTTTTGGTCCTGTGCTGGAGCCCACCTTCAGGGAATGTCTTTCTAGCAGAGTGTGTACTGTTCTGTGTGTTGTAAGTGGCTTTTTAGATGTTGGTTGGGGGTGTGTTGATGACTGGCTATAAGTCGTTGGCTGCCGTTTTGGGCAGCCCAAGCAAACAACAAAACCTCTGGTCCTGGTGATTGTCCCAGATTGAGTCTCACAAAACATAGCTTAACAGAATGGCTGCGCTCATCTCACCTGCTTTGCCGAAAGAAACGTACATTGGATGGATTCATAGTTAGCTTTCCCACAATCACACAACCACACTTCACCCTAAATTAGCATGTTTTAGGAATCCAACCAGGTTACAGAAGATAAGGCATCCTCTAAGTTGCTTCTCCTCTTGTGTTTCTTTGTGTGTCTAATCACAGACGAATACAGAATATTCTATTCCATTCCATATTCTATTCTATTCCATTCCATTCCATTTTCTATTCTATTCCATTTCATTCCATTCTATTCCATTCCATTAGCTATTCTATTCTATTCAATTCCATTGCATTTTCTATTCTATTCTATTCCATTCCATTCCATTTTCTATTCTATTCTAGTCAATTCTATTCTATTCCATTCCATTAGCGATTCTATTCTATTCCATTCCATTCTCTATTCTATTCCATTCCATTCCATTCTCTATTCTATTCTATTCCATTCCACTCCATTCCATTCCATTAGCTATTATCTATTATTCTATTCCTATTCTATTCTATTAGCTATTCTATTCTATTCCACTCCATTAGCTATTCTATTCTATTCCATTTTCTATTCTATTCTATTCCATTCCATTTCATTAGCTATTCTCTATTATTCTATTCTCTTCTCTTATCTTCTGTTCCGTTCCGTTCCATTCCATTAGCTATTCTATTCTATTCCATTCCATTAGCTATTCTATTCTATTCCATTCCATTAGCTATTCTATTCTATTCCATTCCATTAGCTATTCTATTCTATTCCATTCCATTCCATATTCTATTCTATTCCATTCCATTAGCTATTCTATTCT